CCTTCCTTCCTTCCTTCCTTCCTTCCTTCCTTCCTTCCTTCCTTCCTTCCTTTCTTTTTTACAAAGGTGGCAGACTTGGGGACTCCATCTGCAAGGGGCAGACAGACACCCTTTTCAAAGTCTGGCCTCCCGTGCGGTCACGATATGCAGCACACGCCCCCCTCCCCGCCCCCTAGGCCGTGCTTCTGGCAGATGCCCCTCGGATGCTGCTGCTTTGGGGCGGGCGATGCTTTTCTGGCAGGGCCGGCTCCTAGCGAGATTGAGAGGAAGTCGGACAGGCGGAGAGGTCATGGGCAAAGCACGCCACGCATCACCTGGGTTTCTCTGCTGTGCTCACCCCTCCCGCCTACGGTGAGGGTCAAGTGAACACCTGGAAAGATCCAGACAGTGAGTTCAATGTGGAGCAAACACGGCCCCCGAGACCGTCTTGTGTTAGCGGACGGAGGCAGAGGGCGGGTCGCAGGTGCGACGGGGAGAGGCCAGTCCCAGGCTCCATCTTCACCAGCTCCTCAGTCTTGGACGTCGCTCACCTACGGGGACAGCGCGTCTGGCTGCAACGGCGTTTGCAAACCCACACGCTTAGGAAACTTGGCTTCCGGAGCTCGTGGCAGCCAGGAGCGGATGCTCCGCTGGGCGGTGAACACCCTGCGCGGGTCAGGCTGTGACGCTGCTGTCGCCCAGGTCAGCGAGCGTGGCCCGGAGATTTCAGCGTCATACGTAAGTCCAGGAGAAGCCACTTTTCATCATTATGGGGACAGCAACGGGCATCTATAAGGTTCGCCCAAACCATACTCCCTTCGGGAAAATGAAACTACGCGAGGCACGTCACGCGGAGCCAGGCTCACGTCCCCACGCGTGCGTGCTTTTCCCAGTGGTTGGCACCGAGAGCACACGCCACCGTGCCCGGCCAACGTCCCGCGGGAAGCGTCCCCGCCCGTCGGAAAGCAGCAGGCAGGCGGCCAGCGCCGTCCCTTCCCTGGGGCAGTTCTGTGCCTTTCTCTGCGACGCAGGCGGCCGTAGCACAGAGGGCGGCCGCTGGGAGGGGCGATGTGCTTAGCCCACGACAGCGAGACTCCGTGGGATGCCTCGCACCCCTCGGACAGGCAGCGCCGTGATGCCGATGAGCCGCACGCGCCCGCACAGGCACGCGGTGCCCAGACGCCATTTCCCAGCACAGGCTCCTGCCGTAAGGGACCAAGGAGAGGCCGCCGCTCAAAAGTGAGAAGCCGCACATTTGGGAAAAGTGTCTGTATGAGTTTTCTGTGGCAGCTGTAACAAATTACACAGACCGAGTGGCTTAAAACAGCAGACGTTTGTCTTGCCCCACGGACCAGCAGTGTGACATCAGGGGTCCCAGGGCCTCGCTCCCTCCGGAGGCCCCAGAGGGTGATCCCTCCCGCCCATCTCAGCGTCTGGGGGACCCAGGCGTCCCTGGGCTGGTGGCTGCGTCCCTCCTATCTCTGCCTGCGCCCCACGTGGCTTCTCTGTGTCTGCGTCTCTCCTACTGTCCCTTATACGGACACTGTGTCCTTGGGTTTAGGGCCACCTGCTCCAGGAGGACTCACCTCAGACCCTTCACTTCCATCTGCAAAAATCTGTTTTTTTCCCCAAATAAGGCCCCTTTCACAGGTTCCGGACCTGGGACGTGGCCACCTCTGCTAGGAGTCACCACGCAGCCCACGACGGCTGCCATGCGAGATGTTTGCCCGGGAGCCCGAGGCTTACGCGGGGTTTCCGTGAGTTTTTAAGGGTTGGAAGTGGAGCCATAATGACCCGTTACTCCTGACACCCCGCTGGGTGTATTACCACATAAAAATTCCCTAGATTTGCTTTATGAATCTTTACAAGAAAGAGCAAGGAATTGGCCGTTGCCAGCCCGAGTCTCCGATGAATTAGGGGGAAATGTTAAAACTGGTTCAAGTGTCAGTTGCTGCTGCCAGGTCAGAAGCAGCAAGAGAAATGAAATTTCCGAGAGCACAGAATTGCACGTACACAGCTACATCAACGGGGCGGGGAAAAGTAACTGGCTGGAAAAAGCGAAGGAAACGAACGGAAAGTCATTTTCGAGAGTTTATTTCATTAAAAAGAAACGCTGCCATGTCAGAGATTTAAAAAAAATGGGGTGTGATTTTTTTTTTTTTTGGTAAA